GAGGCGGCCGCGCTGAGCGTGGGGCACGATGGCTGAGGAGTCCGGCCGCTTCGCTCCTCCAGCCGCGCCCGCCGCCCCCCCAAATGGCTCCTACGGAGACCGGCTGAGCTGCCCCCCCCTTGCCTGCAGGAGCCCAATGGCGGCCCGGCAGGCTCCGCTTTTGAAAAAAATGCTGGGCTACCCGGGCGAGGGAACCAGGAAGCTGCCGGGGAGAGAGGATCTGACCGCCAGCTGCTGCCCGCCCCACTGCTTCGCTCCCTCCAGCCCCCGGGAGAAGTGAGCAGCACCCGCCCGCCACCCCTTCCCCCAGGCCCGGCGCCCCCTCCCCCCCACTGAGCCCCTCCGAGGGGGAGCGCAGCATGGCGGCAGCATGGCCGGAGGAGCCAAGGGGGGGGGGCGCAGAGTGACCAGAGGAGGAGCCAAGGAGGGGCGCCTTTTTTATGGTTGCTCCCCCTGCACTGAGAAGCTGGCTACACCACTGCTCTCACCGTTAAAATTTTGCACCTTATTTCCAGTCTGAATTTATCTAGCGTCAACTTCCAGCCATTGGATTGTTATACCTTCCTCTGCTAGATTGAAGAGCCCATTATCAAATGGTTTTCCCCTATGTATGTAGTTGTAGCCAGTAATCAAGTCATCCCTTAACCCTCTCTTTGTTAAGATAAATAGATTGAGCTTCTGGAGTCTATCACATGAAGGCATGTTTTCCAATCCTTTAATCATTCATGTGACTCTTCTCTGATAACCTCTCCAGCTTATCAACATCCTTCTTCAATTGTTGACACCGAAAACTGGACACGGTACTTCAGCCACGGTCGCCCAAGTGCCAAATATAGCTGAGGTAAAATAACCTCTTTACTCTTACTTGAGATTCCCCTGTAAATGTATCCAGGTGACCTTTTCTGTGGGAAAACACTAGCACCACATGCTTTGGAGTTTGAAATTTAGCAGAAATTTGGTCTTTGTGACAGACTTGTGCCTTGTTCTGATCCTGTGAAAATCTACCCAAATTTGGCCAAGCTATAGAAAAATCTTAGTGTGCACATACTCAGTGGTGACTTTTTAGAAAGTTTAGTGGCTAAAATCTCTGAAGATTCTATGCACCCTGAGCATGCTCCATCTCCTCATAGGTTGTAGGGCTGACCAGACTGCACATGTGCCATCCCCAGAGAGCAACTGAGCATGCTCCAGCCTAAGGCTACAGGGGCAAAGCCTGAAGTTCTCTGCAGTTGCTGCTCTGGTGCTAGGCAACAGGAACTGAGAACAGAGATGCTGTTTCTCTTGTGCTTTCAAAGACACGTGCTCCCACCCCATCCCCTGCTGGTGCCCAGGCAATGTGGGGAAGGAAGCTGCCTGGCTTGAATACAGTGGGGACAAGAGTCAAACCAGGAGGAAGGGCAAAGAGAAGATTGAGATGAAGAGCCTGATGAGTCTGGGACTGAAGGGGAAAGAGGGTGTGGGAGACTGGGAGCAGTGAGGGACTGGTGTGTGTGGGGCAGGGAAGATAGATCTGAAAAGGAGCTGGAGTGTGGGGGAAGCTGGTTGGGCAAAGAGATAGGGGAAAAGAGCTATGTATGGGGTGGAGGTGAAAGAGACTAAGATTGGATGAGGAGCCTGGCGAGGGACACAGGGATGCAGCAAGGAGAATAGGATTGGGATGAAGAGCTAGGGGTAGGGAAGAGACAGGTCTGTGGCAAGGCAGAAAGGATGTGAAACAGGCAAGAGAGTCTGTGCCCACTAGAAGACACTCCCCTCCACAGCTGGGAATGGAACCCAGGATTCCTCAGTCTCACCATTCCTTTGCTGGCAGCAAATAGCTATGAAACCCATAGCACAGTATGTCTTATATCCCTTTGGTCCTGGTCCACATAGAGGATAACATCCTACTACTGCTAACAGTTACTTCATTACTTCAAGTGGTAGAGGTCTGTGTGATGGTTGAAAGGTTTCAGCCCTGCTTATGACCCATGCAGGAATTTTTTTTACGTTTCCTTTAAAAAAACCCAGAAAACTATGATAAAAGAGCATTAAGGTTGCAAAATCAAGTCCTCAAAAGTTAGTAAATACCAGAATTAAGTTTGCTTGTGTATCCTTAATTTGGCCCCCTTGTGCATATGCATTATTATACAATCTTTATGTGATCACATACTGTTTTTCCCATAGAACCCCTGCCTCATTTAGTGCACCAGAATTTTCCCACCTCTCGGATGAAGGCTCTAACCACTCGACTATAGAGTCATTCTCAATGCCTCTGGCCCAATTAATATTGGATTATTTATACAAAGTGGAATGGCTTCAACAACAGAACATAAGAGAAACCTCCATCAGAATTACCCCATGGTCTAGTCACCTCATCTGAGAGGTGGGAAAACCCTGTTTAACTCCTTTTGCCTTATGAGGCAGAAGGGAAAATTAAATTATGGTCTCCCACCTCCTAGTTAAGTATCCTAACCACTGGGCTAAAGGTAATCAGGAAGGCTGGCTCCTCTTTTGGCTGTCTTGTGTAGAGCCAGATATGCTCTGAGCATCCTACCAGATCAAGCCCTGCAGGTGACATAGGTGCTGCCCTGCCCATCTTCACCTGGTTTGAGTATCATGCTGGGTGTTAGGTGTGAGATAGACATCTGCACACCTGCCTGAGGCAGCAGCACTCATGCTTAGAGGAAGAAACTTAGGCACCTACTGGACCTTTTACAGCAAAAACATAGGGACCAAGTGTGGGTTTTGTGGATTGCAGTGGTGCCTAAAACTGGGACTTAGCCACCTAAGTCTGGGCTTTAGGTGCCTAAGTGCCTTTGTGGATCCAGGACTAAGTTCTTGGCCTCAGTGACATTCTGTGCTAATGAGTTCCACAATCTAATTACACATTATGTGAAAAGCAGAGCCGTCCCGTCCATAGGACAGACCAGGGCAACTGTCTTGGGTCCCGTGCTTTGGGGAGCCCTGCCCTTCAGGAGGATGCTGGGGGGGCAGGGTGGCCCGAGGGACTAATAGGGGGCCTGGCACCGGCAGCAGGGATCAGGCCCGCGCCCTGCACTTACTGGCCCAGGCATTTATTTCCTTTTCTTGCCTGCAGCCCCCTGAGGCTCGGACTCAGTCTCTGTGGCAGCAGCAGCGAGCGACCCGGCCCCAGCCCGTTCCGCTGGCTCCCGCTGTCGCCAGCTGCTGCAGAGTCTTAGCACCCCCCAACCACTAGTGGCAGGGCAGGCTGACCCTGCTCTTTTGCCTCAGATGGTCCCTTCCCTTTTCTGGCAGGACCCTCCACCAGCACAGGGGGCCCCCTCACCCCTAGCACAGGTGAGTGCCAGCCAATAGTCTCCCTTGCCCAGCACTGGTGTCACCCCAGTACTCCACACCTCCCGCTCCCACTGCTGTTTCTCCCCTCTCCCAGCACTGGGTGGGGTCCTCCAATGCCATCTCCAGGCCAGGGACAGCCCTTATCACCCCCCTGCCTCAGGGTCCTCCTTGCCTTTCAGCTCTCCAGTCTTGGGGTTCCCCCTCCCTGCAGTACCAGGATCTGGGGTCCCACAACTCTGCTCTCTCTACCACCCACCAGGACTGGGGTCCTCCATCCATCTGCTTTTCCGTCTCCCCTTCCCCTCCCCCTCCCAGCCCCCTGAGAAAACAGATCTTAGAGCTCCTCCTCCATGCTGGAAGGTCCTGGGGTTCCCCAGCACCAGGGCAAATATGGGCCCTCCAAGAGCCACCCAGTTCCTGGGAAATGGGCTCTCGGTGTTGCAAATGTGTAATTACATTTAAAAATAATCCACGGAAGGTAGCAAGACCATATACACCTGGGAAGTGAGTTTGCTGCAAGGAAGTCCAGGAAGGTGGATTTCAGAAAGTAAGCGATGTGACACTGATTGTGAACTGTGATTTTTTTTTAAATTATATGAACTTAATTAAAATTATAAAAAATACAATATAATAATATTATAATTATACAGCCGGGCGCTATCAATATTTAACCTGTGGCCAGCAGTTGCCCTTGAAGTTCACTGTAACCAGATTTCACAGGACTTTTTAACTTTTCAGTGGTAGAGGATTATAGTTTCTATCCCTGGTAGTTCAGGAGATCCAGACCTTAAACAATCTCTGGTCCCTTGGACTATTTAGAAACATAGGTCATTTCCCAGAAAGACCAGAATATTTCGAGTAAGCATCCTTGGCTACGCTGCGCTGGGGTGAGCAAAGGACCATTTTGAGTTAGTTAGCTAGTTTATTTTTAAAGCAGCATTTCTACTTGGAAATTAAGTTGTTATAAAGGATAGGGTTTTAGCTACCATTGGCCAGGTCTGCACTAGAAATGTTTGCTGGTATAGCAATTTCAATTAGGAATGTGATTTTTTTTTTTCCTCAACATTTCTATGCTGGAAAAAGTCCTAGAGTAGACAGAGTTACACTGGCAAAAAAGTACTTTTGTTTGCTCAATGAACCAGTATAAGCTACACTGTCAAAAACACTTTTTTGTTATTGAAACTGTATCTGCATTAAGGGGGGTTTTGCCATATTACTACACCAGCAAAATATAGACTAGGCCTCACTTATCCTTTTTCAGTTTTTGGTAAACAGATTTGATAGATGGGTACCATGCTTATGTGGTTTGATAGCTATATGGTGAAGAAATCTGTACTAGGTTTCCCTGTGCTCTGAGATGAGCAAAGTGCTGAGCAGGACCATTTTGAATTAGTTTTAAACTTTATCATGTGGTTCTTCAATTTATCGCACACCATTTACCAACTCCTCCTGTTCCACTCTGCTTGATAATCCTAGGCTACTTCCAGCTTTCCAAATCTAGTCTAAGCAGCTTGTCATCTTGTTTTTTAAAAAGCAACCTTTCACAGAAATGTCTCCTTTCCTCAGCTGTGGAATTTCTCCACAAAAATTACCTAAGGCATAGGACAGGCACTATTCAGTGCAGTAGTAGTGACAGACTGGAAGTCTGATCTTCTAGGGCTTGGCAGAGATAGGAATGGTAACTTCATATAATAATTACACACACACAAGATTCACAGCTTCCCCCAACACATGCATCTAGGAAATTCCCAAGATACTAGACCTTAAATAATAACATTGTTATGCATATCTATTTTTGGACATTTTTAAAGAAGTCTCTGATCCCTGTAGAGCCAAACTCAAGGTAATTTAGACATTAGTCTTAAAGGCAAAAGTTACATAAAAGTACCCCAACACCATTTTTAAACTCTTTGAAACATTCATTCCTGTTACATCTGCGGCACACAGAGAATGCACAAGTGTGTGCTTTGATCGACAGGCTTTACTAGAAGAACATAGGTGTTACTCATGCTTAATGCAACTACCCTACATGTCCCCTTAACATTCGCCAGCCCCCATCCTGTACCACCTATTCCCTGCCAACCCCCGGGAAGAGAAGAGAACAGGTGCAGAGTTACGACTGTGTCAGGAGTGGTCACTGCACGTGCAGTAGGCAAAGCTGACAGCTGTGAGGGGCTGTGGGGTCAGGCGAGCTAGGTACAACGAGCGGCTGCCGGTGTGCAGAGGGCAGAGCTCAGGTTGCCAGTTGTGGTTGGACGTATTCCTGGAATTTCACCACATGACACAATCTTTAATTAAAGCTTCATCTTTCATTCCGGGAGACGCCAGGACAACCCCAGGCAGAGCCGGGGCTGCGTTGGCGTGTCCTGTCCAGGAGCCGGGCTGGCGGTGCCCAGTGCACCAGGCCCTGCTGTGCCCTGGGCTGCCGTGTGTGAGGTCATCCCCGCCCGCCGACGGGCCGCTCGGTGCCACGTTGAGCCGCGCGGGCGGAGCCGGAGCCAGCCCCCAGGCTGCTGCTCCCCCTTCCGCCGCCTCGTCAGGTCACGGCGGGGTATGGGGCCGGCTCCTCCCCCACGCAGGAAGGGCCGGGCTCCTGGCTTCCCCTCGGGCATGAATGGGCTCAGCACTGCCCGGGCCGCTGCGTCTTCCCTTCGGCCCTGGCCCGGCCTGGCCCTCCCCCAATAGGGATGCGCGTTACAGGCCGCCCGTCGCTGGAGACTGGTACCGCGCACAGAACTGGCTGGCCGCCTCATCCCTCTTAGCCAATCACATGACAAGTTACAGCACCCTGCCCGGATAGCCAATCACAGCCTCAGCCGCTCAGCGCCCAAGGCTTCAGTTTAAAGCCCTGTAGAGGGACTGAGCGGCTTCTGATTGGCTTTAGGAGAAAGCTCTTTCCATTGGATCGGCTCTCGGGGCTGCTAGGGCGGCGGCAACGTCTTTTGATTGGATCTCTGATTATCTTCGGGTAGGTTCGGCTATTTCCGTAACGGCCTCGCGATTGGCTCCGATGTATTCCGGATGTTTCCGTTCCCGCTCGGTGATTGGCCCCACGCTGGTGAGGTTATTACCGTAACCACCGCTGGATTGGCCCCGATGTGCTTCGGGTGTTGCCGTGCGGGGGCCTCGGGCGGTTTGACTGGGTATTCACGGAGGCTGCTTAGGGCCGTTGCGCAGCGTAGGGCGGCGACGGGGATAGGCGGCTGCGCGGCTTTGGCGCACAGCACACACAGAGCGCAGCGGCGGCGGCAGCAGGAGCCCGGCACGGAGCGGCGGCGGCAGCAGCAGCAGCAGCAGCGGGGACAAAGGGACTGATCGGCGCGGCCGCGGGGGCTCCCGGCAGGAGGCAGCAGCTGCCGGCGCCGGAAGCGGCGCGGGGGGGGAGCGGCAGGAGGGTCCGGCGGGTCCCATGTGCCCTGGGCGCCCAGGGGAGCAGCCGCCGCCGCCAGGGCTCTGAAGCCGGCTGAGGAGGAGCCGGGGCCGGGAGCCGCCACCATGGCCTGTGCCGCCGCCTCCGCCCGCCGCCCGCATTGCAGCCGCTTCAGCGTTAGCCGCCGCCCGCTGCCCCTGCGGGCGCTATGAGGAGCCGCGCCGGAGCCGTCGCCTCATCCCCGCACTGAGGAGCCGGAGCGAGCGAGGACGCCCGACCGCTTCACTCCCCCACTCCGCCCGCTGAGGATCCCACCGCCCGCGCCGGATCCTCTTCCAAGTTCTCGGTGCTACGAGCAGACCCGGAGATCCTTGCGCCGGAGAAAATAGTCCCCATCGCTGCTGCCTCCCTAAGAGGAGAGGGGGGGAGAAGGAGAAAACCCCGGCGAGGAAAGAAGAGGAGCTCGGCTGTAGCTTGCGCCCCATGTGACTGGCTCTCAGGGTGGGGGCAGCAAGGCTTAGCAACCCCCACTGTTTCCCAGGCCGCAGCAGGAGCAGCATCGGGGGGGCTCGTGTGCTGGGTGGAGGCAGCTGTTGGACCCAGTGGTGCTGCTGGGAAGGATGTTTTTATAAACGAGGAGTGAAGAAGCCCTGAGAAGAGAGATCCAGAGGGGGAGAGGGTTTCCCCTGGGGGGGAGGGGGGCTGGAATTTAATGTTGCATTTTGTATCCCTCTCCACCTGAGAGAGAGGCACGCACACCAACCACCAGGAAGAGAAGAAGGCGAAAAGAAGAAAGGAGGAGAGGTGATCAGAGGGAGAGAGAGAGAGACCATGTCAGGGCGGCCCAGAACCACCTCCTTTGCAGAGAGCTGCAAACCAGTGCAGCAGCCTTCAGCATTTGGCAGCATGAAAGTTAGCAGTGAGTATTGATTTCGCACCCACACCCCGTGCAGATTAAACATCGGGTTTTTAAAAGAGAATTTGCACTGTTGTTTGTCAGTAAACGTAATTGTGTGAGGGATTCTGGGCTGGTCAGTGGAAGAAGATCTAGACTGTCTCTAGCACTGGATGAAACAGCTCCCTTTCCCTCCCCCTCATTAACCTTGAATAGGCACACACCATGGTTTCCATTTGGGCCTGTTCAACAAAAAATATTTGTTTGGTGTGCCTTTCTGCCCCTTATCTATAACAATATTGTTGTTAGTTTGACTAGCTATTTAAAGGGAATATTTCTGTTGCAATTTGGTTTTAAAGAGCTATGTGCTGCATTTCTGTCTATGGAGCAATGGAGGGAAGGAAATGAATTACGTGCACATGTGATCATTTCACATATTTGTACAGTTATATGCTTCTAAACATTTTCTGTTGTGTGATACATTGAAAAGTGGAATGTTTGCTATAAGTATGCACCCACAACTGGGGTGTGAACACTTTTTTTTTGTGCAAGCTTAGCAGGAGGCTTAGAAAAGTCTATTTCCATAATATCTTGTGTTTCCGGCTCTGTTAAATGTGCTGTGAAAAAAAAATTCTTGAATATGATGTATGTGAACACATTGAACTGTTAGTGAAAAAGAACATCCTGTATTTCTATCTTTCAGAAATTGAATTTTTTTTTTTAAGGATGAGGCCTATGGCCCCATTCTTAACAGTAGTATTACATGTATATTGTAAATTGGGTAAGTGGTTTACTATGTGCTCATCCTTGATCTCCCAGTTTATGGCATTGGGATTTTGAGGAGAATTAGAAATATATATTTAATCCTATTAATAAAAAAAATAGTGTTGGAGGAAAAAGACCCTATTGTGTGTTTCTAAAGATCAGTTACATATTTATAATCTGGAATTTGTTGATTCTTGGTTTAAATATATTCATATGCAAAGGTAACATGATCTTGCTCATCTATGTGAATAATTTTCATTCAAAGGCACTTCAGGTCCACTCTTGTAGAAATCTGGATGGCTTTATAAAAGGACCGTGAAGGTCTGATATATATCACTATTATTTAAACCGATCACTTTGAGACTTGCATTTTGATACTTACACCTGGCAAAGCTGTGTTTGTATCATATTGCTTATTTGTACATGTGGAGTTTTAGTTCACTCCAAAGCTTTAGGTAATTGTGAGCTTTCAAACATTTGTCAGAAATTGTAGCATTTTCTAGTCTAAGATGCCTTCCACTGTGGTTGGAGCTTTGAAGAAAATATTGGGTTTATGGTCTGAAGTCTACCCTCACATGTCTATGTGATCAGAGTACCTGCAGTACTTATGAACATTTTGAGTAGTTAGCCCATATTAGCAACATGAGACTGTACAGTTGATTAGATATAGCAATAACACATTTCACTCTCCATTTATATGGAGAATATTGTGTGACTCCATTTTATTCTCATTCATTCTCCTTATATGAGAGTAGCAGAGGAAGCAGGAGGTGTTAATCAATATTTCTGCATGTGACTATGTGTAAAATTGACCCAGATCTAGAGCTGTCATGATCAGAAACTAAAATGGTCTTACCTAAGCTTTTCCTCTTAATTTTTGAAGGTTTGATTTGGGGTCTCTCTTCCTATTTGAGGTCAAAATCTAGGAAGATGCATGCTCATAAATTGGTGTAGGCTAGCAAATACGATTAAATACCAAATGTATAACACAATGGAGAAGCAGAGGCCTTAACATAAAGCGCCCACAATGGTGATACCCCTCTTTCCCTCTCCCTCCCCCCCATTGTGATCATGTTCTCCATGTCCTGTTGGTGTCTTTAAAAGGATATATAATCAGAGCACCAGAAGCAGAGGCAAGGACTGTGTGGAGTAGGAGACAATGTCTGTTCTGGAGGACAGCAAGACTGCTGTATGCCGAAAAGGGTAACTTCTAATGGGCATCAGAATTTTGGTGGCCTCTTTGGGTATGATGAAGCAAGATTCAAATAATCAGAGTCCAGGTCTTGGAAAAGTAGGCTTTACTTTTTTAAGTGATGTTTCTAGCCATTTTGGTTGTGAAAAAAAATTCCTGTATATGACCAGGTGTATATTGATGCAGTGCTGTTTCTGAAGTCTGCAGGCAGCTCTGGTGCCTCTGCCATTAATCAGAGCTTCCTAAACTGTAGCAGAGTGAAAACTGGACCTATTTTGGGTCTGTTTCACTGCTTCTATTCATAATTCTGTGAGTAGTAATGAAACTGAATGCCCAAGTAAATCTTGCTGTGTTGCTGCTGTGGAAAGCCAGGAGGAGCAGCAGCAGTCGGGCACTGTAACTAGTCTGTAGGAAGAGAGGACTCCAAAAGTGGAGGCCGTGGGAGGGCAGAGTAGCAGGGACTCTACATACCATCACAGCATCCAGGAGGATCAGAGGTGGGAACATAGTGAATGCTCCTTTAGTTCAATAGCAGGGAGTATATGTGCTTTCCCCCTAAATTTATCAGATGCTCACTCACTACAGACTGATTTGAAAGGATGAGTCTTGAAGTTGGATCCAGGGACTGGCATAAGATTCCCAGCACCTCTGTTTTCCCAGCCCCAGTAAAGGAAACTTGTCATTTGTGCTTCATCCTGGACAAAACATGCTGCCCACTTCTCTGGGATAACCGTTGTAGGGATTGTGGTGTCCCAGTATTCTTTCACCAGAGGTAGAAATAGTATATGTTGCCTTGTCAGGGTTAAGAACATCTTCCAAGATCCACTAGATGTTTTTTTGTTTTGGTTTTGAGAGCACTTATGCTTCCCTCAATTGTATATTTTTAAATTTAGTTAAGGTCAAGTGCCTTCCTCTGTGTTTACAGTTCTGTAATATTGGGTTTGCAAACTTCTTCTGTGCAAAAAAATTTTTTTTGTGTGTTCTTTAAAAAGACATACTGGTTGGGCCTGTACTAGTTCCTAGGAATGAATTGAGGGCAATATAAAAAAAATATTAGATGTATTTGTCATTTTGAAAGGTCTAGCTGTGATCTTAATCACATTTAAAAGATAAATGTTAGTTGGATTTGTAAGTTTATATTTAAACATTCAACTAATAACTTCTGGGTTGCTGTTTAAATTTGATGCTTGCCAGTAAAATCTGCTGAAATTGAGGTATGGAGCTTACCATGGCTTAGTGCTGCACCTAGTTGTTTTATACTTGGAAATGATGTACAACTGGAAACAAACGGGAGAAATTGTCCTGAAAATGAAGTGTGGTCTTGCAACACACAACAATAAAATGCACCTCTTCATAAAAATACAAGTCTTAAATGGGAAAACTCACAACTTGCAAACTTAAACAGTAAACTTTAATGACTGTGAAACTGACTGCTGTTGATTATGAAAGGCAGTGTTTTAAAGAACATGTAGGACTTGCTACACTTAAAAATACTTTTAATACTGCTGTCTTCAAACTGTTACTTTGTCTCTGCCCGCAGCCCTTCATAACAGGCTAATTCTCAAGGGGTGCAATAAACTTTTCACTGCATGTGTAAATGTCATATACATGTAATAGAATTACTTGTAATTTTTCATAAAAACAATTTTAGTGAGTGCTGTACAGCTACTCACCTTAGGTTAAATGCCCAAATCTAGCTATTTTCTTGCATAATGTGTGTAAGTTCATGGCCTCTTGAATTTTCATAATTTAGACTATGTAGGAATTAATTCTGTGATTTGCTGAAAGAATTTTGCCCCAACAGCAAACTTGCCTTTGTTCACGTTCATTGTTTCAACTACTTACTTAAACGTAGTGCGTTTTTTCATATGGAAGGATCCAAAAGTGCACAAGAAGCTCTAATATGTGTGACTGCATTTCAGCACTGGAGTAATATGTAGTCACGTACAAAGTGGAATATAGCAGGAGCTTGACAGTTGCACAGCCTATTAGTTTAGGATAGTAATGATATCAAAATAAATCTGTACAAAAGGTTTTTGGGTAGGAGGCAACAACTTGGTAAAAAGCTTAAGATAAATGACACCCCTCTTCTCCTCCTTACCCCCCCCCCCATAAAAAAAGCTATACTAGCTGAAAAGAAATGATCTTCTCTCTCCAGAGGCTGCTGAGAGTTGTGTGGGTTTTAGCAACCCTATCCCTTGACCAGATTTTTGGCTACTTCTGGGAGGGGGAGTTTCCTCTACACAAAAATTGGAAAAAATTACTTGACTCCATACTAGGGTGAAAAATGCCTTTGTATTGTCATGCCCCAAATCCACACTCCTGCAGTTTCAAAAAGGGAATATAACAGCTGTGTGGTGTATCTATATCACCAATCAATTTCGTATTTATACTTTAAAAAAAAAATGTTACTAGGGCTAGTTGAATAGAACAGAAATTTATCTTTTAGTTAATAAAAAAAAGATTTATCAGTCTTCATGAATGCCAGTGAAAATTGCACATTCGTACCTTGAGTGCACGCAAACAGAAACTGGACAGTTTGGGGATCTCCAGGGTCTTTCGCAAAGCCAGTTTGCCACAAGAAATGCGTTACCTAGGGAGGTGGTGGAGTCTCCTTCCTTGGAGGTTTTTAAGGCCCGGCTTGACAAAGCCCTGGCTGGGATGATTTAGTTGGGAATTGGTCCTGCTTTGACCAGGGGGTTGGACTAGATGACCTCTTGAGGTCCCTTCCAACCCTGATATTCTATGATTCTAACTCCTGAACACAATTCAACCAATCCTTTTTACTTCATCTCCTGCCCCTGATACACCTTCTTTCCCTTTCCAGCTTCACTGGTTTGGTTGGTTGGGGTTGTTTTCTTCCTTGTGATATATATCATGGTGTATCTTTTCCTGAGGTGTCTTTTTTGTTGTTGTTGTTCTTTTCTCTGCCTTAGCTTCCTTGATGTATGTTCACACTTTTCCCCTGTCTCATTGCATCTTTTCCTCCCACCCACCCAAGCAATATACCCTCTTGATACTGTATTTTCCCATCATCCCATCAATCTTGTCCTCTTTCTCTTCCACC